AGAAAAATACATAATTTTCCACTGGAAACTGCCTTTCTCAGAATAATACTTAATGTCATGACTGACTTTAAGCACATGCTTAAAGTATATTCACTGATTTCACAGTGACAAACATGTACTTCAGAGAGATGTTTTCCAGAAGTGAAGCAATGATAGTCACAATTAGATTAAGTTGAATACAGCTATGTCATAGTCACACAGGCTCCTTCATCTCTCTGATTACCAATAGTTCTAAAAGTTATTGCAGCTTTTTATCAGTATTACCTGTATTTCACACATATGTGAAGCTTACCATGGCAGTCTTGATAATCCCTTTTACAGTCCCTGACAGGGTTCACTGGTGAAAGTTGGAATAAACAAAAATTTGGTTAGTACAGGAAGGTAAGGAAGTGTTTACATGGTCTGCAATTGTGGTCATCTGTATCCAGCCAAAGGGGAACCTCTAATTTTCTAGTTTATGTAATTGAATTTTTAACTGGTGCACAGTGAAAAGCCTTTTATTTATTTATTTCTGTATGTATGTATGTATTTATTTATTTATTTATTTTCTGAGAGAAATGAACTCTAATTACAACATATGGAGGCTGCAACATTTAAATAAGCAAATAACAGTCTATTCTTGACATTTCTTCCTCTGGAAACAAAATAAAAAACTGTAGGAAAGACTCTTATGTTTTACAAAGAAATTACTTCCTATAATCAAAATTGCTTTGCTGTTTAGTAAAGGAATTTGGGTCTAATGGGCATACTAATGATTTTAAAGACAACCAGATGCATGTTTTATTTATTTATTTATTTGTCTCATTTTGATAATTGTAGCATATGTTCTTTTCCTATGAACAGTTAATGACTAACAAGTATCTGAGAAACTGAAAAGCAATAAGTAGTCCTGATTTGGAATACTGTCATGTAAAAGAATCAACCCAGGTACATCGTCTTCTCAAACCACACTTTGCTGATGGGTCTCATTTATAACAAGGGAGAAAGAAAAGCTGTTTTTGGTAACATCTATAAAATATGAAGATCTCTCCGAATACTCACAAGGGGATGATCTATGCTTCAAGGACTCTGCAAGTCAAAGTCAACCACAGACACAGAAATATGCTAGAAGGAAGGAATAAGAAATGTTTTACGATTAACATTGTCTTGCTTGGCATTATATATAATTAACTACACCCAAGCAATTAACTTCAATGAGAAAGGGCATTTTACCTCTAGTGTTAAAAATGAAGTAACAATTTCCAAACCTTTTCCTTCTAAGAAAAACTAACCACTGTAACATGAATTAAAGGATAAGTGGCATTTTTCCAGGCCCTCCTCATTTACATAGCGTGTTTCATTATGAACTGGTTTTACAGCATGCAGATCTACTGTCCCTCTTCAGGAGACCTCCTAAAGGAGGTCTCTTCAGATGGAAGGAGTCCTCAGAGGTCCCTAAGGGCCACCTTTATTGACATTTCAGGCCTCTGTCTGTTTTGTAGACAGTTTCTTATGGGGTATTTTTTGTTACAGCAACGGCATAAGTCACAGAAAAAGCTTCATGGGTGTTGTTTTAAGTGTGATTTAAAGGTTGGGATGGGACATAAGACCAGGCATATTCTACTTCAAACCTAGTCAGGTTCAGTATGACAATTTGTCACTGGCAAACCTTTCAACCTAACTGGGAGAGACATGCTAAAGACCTTCTTTCCCTCTCTGTGCAGCCTGCACTTCCTAGCTGTGACTAGGAAGCTTCCCAAGCTTCCCCACTGACATCAGTAGAGAGTGCAATAGGCATTTGTTTTTATATCAGAAGTGTCTGGTTATTTGAGAAAAGAAAGAGACCTTGGATGGGAACCACAGGGATCATCAAGTCCAAGTCCTGGGTCCACACAGGACCACCCTAAAAATCAGACCATATGTCTAAGAGCATTGTCCAAATACTTTTTGAACTCCAACAGGCTTAGTGCTGTGACCACTTCCCTTAGGAGCCTGTTCCATTGCCCAGCCACTTACTCAGTGAAGAACCTTTTTTCCTAACATCCTGCCTCACCCTCCTGTGTCCCAGTTCCATGCCATCCCCTCTGTCCACAGAGAGCAGAGATCAGCACCTGCCCCTATGCTCCCCTGGCGAGGAAGCTTAAGGCCATCATGAAGCCTTCCCTCAGCCATCTCTTCTCTAGGCTGAACAAACCAAGAGACCTCAGCCTCTCCTAACACATCTTGTCCTCTATACCATTCACCATCTTTGTAGTGCTCCTTTGAACACTCTCTAATAGTTCTATGTCCTTATCAAGGCTGGATTGAAAGAAGTCAGGGAGGTTTTTCCTAATGATCCCCAGTAGGATGCAACCATGGGTGAGTGCATTTGTCAAGTGTATAAAGCCATGCATTGGCTTTACTACAAAGGGTGTAGGAAACAGAGGAATGTGTTCACAAATTAAACACAAATAAACACCTGGACCTAACTTACAGTAGGGAAATTCTTATCAAGGTGATTTGAATCATGGAGCCTAAGATGGCACAGTATTTCAGTTTCAGTACCCTTAAACAGGTGTATTATCTTCTTGCAAATACAGTAAATGCATTTGGATACTTATCTCTGTGTTCACTGATATAATGTCTCCTGCAATTCACGTGGGGAATGATATAAAGCCCTCTAAAATCAAAGGAGACTTTGTATTTCTTTCATTGACCTATGAAACAAACCGTCAAAGAATAATAATGAGAGTTGAATTTTTAAAGTACTGAACTGTGTCTTATTGTAGACATTTAGTCATTTAATAGCAAAAATGTATCTGTCATTTTCCCTGCAGCCTGATTTCCTGTGATCTCTAGAAATCTTCTGAGATCCTAGAATAAATGCTATGATTTAGTGTTCAGTTAATTTATAAGCTGCCTGAACTGATCTGCACCAAAGATTCTATCTTTGGCCTTCTTCTGAAAGCATTTGTTTACAGGTTATCAGACATTAAATTCATATTACCCTGGGCTCACTGGCAAAATTCACAGGTAGTTGATAAACCTGACCTTGTGGAAGTATCTTTGAAGCCTTTTAAATAATATAGTGGGGAAAAAAAAAAAGGACTGTTTCCATCCTGAAGCTAATTTGCTTGCTGTTACAGACAACAAGGTTTCTACCGTATATCGATCAGGAAACAGAGGAACTAAGATAAGTAAGTGCATGAAAAGAAAGTAGAAAATAAATAAGTAATTATTAATGATATAGAAATGGAAAATAGCATGCTTTGATCTAGATAACTGCTGCAATTATAAGTTAATCTTAAAGGGGAAATGAGACTAAAAATCATCAGGAGAAAACAGGAATTGTGGCTTAAGTCCTTAGATACACTTAAACATCTAAGACAGCTGCTGTGTATTGCTATGCTGCTGCTCTGTACTGCTATAGTTATGTATTTGCCTATTTTTCCACTGAGGTACAGGTAGAGTAGGGTACTTAATAGAATGGTTTGGGTTGGAATGGTGTTTAAAGATCATTTAATTTCACACACACATGGCATGGGCCGGGGCACTTTCCACTAGACCAGGTTGCTCAAACCCCATCCAACCTGGCCTTAAACACTTCCAGGGATGGAACATCCACAGGTTCTCTGGGCAAGCTGTTCCAGTCCCTCACCACTCCCATAGTAAATAATTTCTTCTTCATAACTAATCCACATCTATTTTCAGTTTAAAGCCATTACTCCTTGTTCTATCACCAGATAGTTCTATCACTCCTTGACAAAGAGTCCCTAGAAATACTTAAGGCCAGGTTGAATGGGTCTTTGAGCAACCTGGTCTAATGGGTGGCATCCCTGTCAATGTCAGGAGGGTTGGAACTAGATGATCTATAAGGTCACTTCCAACACAAATCATTCTATGATTCTACGATTCTGTGATTCTATGAATGTTTGCTCTCCAAGAGAAGGGGAAAATCCCATTCAACATTACAAGAGCTGTTGGTGAGAAAGTGACTCTACATATACCTAAAACACGTTTCCATTCCCTGTCTCCTTCGCCTAAGTGTTTTGTTATTTAGCAGTGCATTTCTGTGATAAACAGCTCTGTTGAATGTGATAAAGTCAGTGGTAAACTTGGAAGAGCGACACAGATAAAAAAAAAAAAAAAAAAAGAACAGCTGGTAAAACTGAGAGTTTGCTTCCACTTAAAACTGACATCTTAGTATGTAAATGGCTTTAGATTGAGCAATGTTGACGAATGTCTATAAGAAACTAGACAGCAAAAGGAAGAGTTTATTATCATTTTTTGTTTGCTTGAGGGTTTTTTGTTTGTTTGTTTGTAGTTTCTATTTTGAATAGAGTGCTTGTTGATTTTCTTAAGAAAAAGATTCCATATTTTACATTAAATGTTACAATTTCTTTTTTCATTAAATAAATTGGGAGTTCAGAAATGAAGAAAGAAAGAAAGAGAGAGAAATAGAGAAATAGAGAAATAGAGAGAGAGAGAGAGAGAGAGAGAAAGAAAGAAAGACGAAAGAAAGATGTTGATGGTGTTATGAGCATCCTGAAGGAAAAATAATAATAATAATTAAAGAGAAAGAAAAAAAAAAAAAAACAACAACAAACTTCTACTACTTTATCTTTGAAGTGGCCAGGCTGCAAGGGGAAGTAGTTAATTCCCCATGGGTAGACACAAACATTCCATCGCTTGTGACATGTGTAAAGGTTGCTGTTCAGAGCAGACTCTTTTCAGGACCCATTTCTTCTGGGCACTTACATTTCTAAGCCCCTCAAGAGGGCTGTACTTGTGAAAAAGAAAGTGGAAGCTCTGGTGTTCCAGTCTAAGATTACACCATCATTTTTGTGAACAAACTTTGGATCAATCCAGAGTTGGAAGTGAACATGAAAAGTGTCAGTAACTCTTTTATAAGTCTTTTTGTGGTGCATCTGATTGACCCACATTATGATGTACAATAGCATGAAAGAGTGTTAGTAATCAGTGCTAATGAATACATGTACCTACCTGATTCATATACTGGGCATTAACCCTCTCTAATGCTTTTGTTTTGCATTCATTAAAATTCCCATCATGACACAAAATGCTGAACATTTACTATAACAAAAACAAAAGCAAACAAAAAAATTGGACACATTTATTGCAAATTTCAGTCAAAAAAGATATAAATAAGGAAATCACATAGCACAGGCACATTGTCCCGGTCCTACTCTACTTTAGTTCATTAATTAATGTTTTTAGAAAAGATATTTACAGTGAGACCTCAGGCAGATACTCTGAGAGCTTGTGGCATAATCCTTCTCTGTCCTCCCCTCTTCCCCTTCCCCCACCTGCAAAAGAGACTGCTTACTCATTTTTCTTTTTCTTTAAAGCCAGGAAGGACTTGGAAAAATCAATCCTCATGGCTTAGATTTATATAAACTATTTCATAAATCTCATTCTCAAACATACTTCTTATAGAGGTAAAACTGACATTTGTTTACTGATTTTTTATTAGAAAAAATATATTTTTCTTTCCTCTTTCTTATGAAAGTGGTTTAGATAAACAGAAGATCCTAGCAAAGAAGCTATGTATGTAAGTATGTATGTCTGTATCTAACAAAAATAGTTTTTGTTTGTTTGTTTGTTTTGTTTGTTTTCCCATAATATTAAACTCAAAAAGCTTACCTGGATTAAAAGCACCAGATTTTATCCCAGAACAGATGGATTTTCTATCTGAGATGTTTCTAATACAAGCTATCTTAACCATATACTACAATTATTTTCATAATTTGTAAAACAAATATATCAGTTCTGAGGAAGCACTTGCTATAGTATCATAAAAGGAATAGAGGAATGCAAAAGAGACTCATACAGTGACAAGATAAAAAGCTTTCTGTACGTGTAGCACTCTATCTCAGAGCAGGCTTAAAAATATTTTTCTTTATTCCCCTCTTTTTCTGTGCCACATACTGCTAAGGAGCCATCAGTATTAGTGAGAATTCAGTAGTGGTGGAACCTGGAGTGTGAAGAGAAGTGGATGGAAAAGTATGCTCAGGAACATGACACTACAGCTACTCTTGCAAAGCTGGAGTTCCAGCTACAAATACATCTTACCAACCTATTAAAAGAAATAATAATAAAAGAAAGAAAATAAGATTTTTCTCTGACTGGAAGCTTAATAACAGTAATAATTAAAACAACAACAATAAATGTTCTATATTTGTTGCTCGGTGCTATCTCAGAATTAGCACACATTAGCATGTTCATAGTAAAGAAAAACTAAGGGGAGTTCTTCTATTTGCTCAGCTATCATGAGATTTGTTGCTGAGTTTGTTATCAGAGTGAGCCCTCTGGGGCTTTAGGCAAAGAAATGATTTGAGGATAAGTCTGAAGATTCCTCATGGGCATAGATACAGGAGTCATGCTGTTCATACTTCCCAAGCTACAAAGCTACAATAGCTGACAAATGTTATGGGGATAAAGGACTTTAAGACATTAAGGATCACTCTCTTGAGCATTTTGAGCCTACCAAAACTGAGCTTATGTGCTCCTTCAGAAAACTGGACCTTGGTCTCAATGGTAATGTGGTTTCCCTTGTGGATTACAGATCTGAACTGCAATCATCCTCGTTTGTGTGTAAAAGAGTCCATTTTAATTAAAACTACCATGTTCTTCATCCAGGTAATGTTAGAATCTCCTCAATGATTTGTCTTTATGCACATTCTTCCTTGTCTGAGATGTTGGCTCTCTGCCACTGTTTTGTGTTTTTTTTTTTTTTTTTTTTTTATAAAGATTATTCCTGTTCAGTCAACATAACTAATCCCACTCAAATCTTACTTTCTAGCCAGTTCATCACCATTAAAAACAACCTGTGCTTTTTTTTAAAGACTTTCTCTACAATCAAAATTATCAGCCCCCTCATTTAACAATGTATGCAGTTCATGCAGGTAAGGCATCCTACATGTTTCAATTCAGCTTCAAGCTTATTTGGCTGTGCAATATTATTCAATGTCTTGGCTGTGATTTTATGCTCTTGCAATAATGCTGTGAATGCTTGCCATTCATCATAATTCTTCCGATCACCTTTTTCATAGGTAGGGTAAATGAAGTGCAGATGGCAACACTTCCTGGTTTGGCCAAAACAATTATAAATTGATATTATGGGAAAACAGAAACCAGTCATTCTGATTCTTAGCTCTGTGCTCCAAGCTCCAATAAATATCCAAATAAATCAAGTTATCACTAGAAATGTAGTAATGATTATTGTGAGAAGGCAAATGCATAGAATGTTTTTGACAGGTTTCCCAAAGTTCTAATGGTGTAACTACCTGTTGTTGAATTCAACTTAATTATGGAAAAACCCCTAGCACTATATTTTATTCTATACATTTTCTAGAAGTACAAATATTGGATTCTGTATGTTCCAGCTGAAGTGTATACACAGTACTTGGGTCAGACCAAGGCTGCCTTTCAACCTCTAGCCCCATTCTGTACAATAGGGTTTTGCTAGTTGCTGAAAAATAAGGAAAGCAAACAGAAACCTCAAACCAAGACCTCTCTCCCCGCCCCCCCCCCCCCCCCCCCCAAAAAAAAAAAGGCAAACAAACAAAATATTTTTTTCTGAAGAAAAGCAAAATTATACTTCATCTGATCCTTGCTAATGACTCTTGTTGAAAGCTTAACATTTTAAACTTGCTTTAAAAAAAAAATGTCTTTGTTGAGGGGAACTTCAACACATTCTGCCCAGGGAAGCCCAGATTTAGGTATGATGCATTTTGGACTTCACCCCAATGATCTACTTCTCATCCTTATTTATTTTATTCTCATCCTTCACTTCATGATATGACTCAACTCATTAAATATTTCAGACTTAAATTAGCTCCAAGAGAAAGTGTTTCTAAGGCATCCTGGCTTTAGCCAGGATTTCTATTATCCATCAAACTTCTAAACAGGGATTTCCTCCTACTCAGTTCTGAGTAATAATTTGGAAGTGAGATGTTGGTATTCCCTCTGAATGACTGGGCTGAGCTTGTAGTTCAGTATGAATCACTTGCACGTTAGGTACATTGGGAGAGTGCAAACTGTGCTGTAATTGATTTTCATTTTGTAGTTGGAGTGTATATTTTCCACTCAGTTCATTTGCTTCATCAGCAACAACTCAGACTTCCAGCAAACCACACCCTTATCAAAAAAAAAAAAAAAAAAAAAAAAGGAATGCAGGAAGAAGAGGCTGAACAAGCATGGACACTCATTTCCTCCAGGGCATATTGTCTCATATCAATGTTCAGATGATGCTTTCAAAAATAAAACTAGAGATCTTGTCATTTTTTATTCCTTAGTGAGGAAGCTACTGCACCAGCTGTGCAATGGCAATCACCAAGTTCTTGTAGTTTCCAGACTCCTCCAAGGTCTGTTTTCACAGACCTTCCCTGGTACTCTTTCATTTATTACTCCTGGATTCCCTCTGCTTACAGATGAAGGACCAGTAACTCTTGAGATCAATAACCTTAAAAAACAGTAGCTCAAGGGATTCTATTTATTTCAAAATGAAATTGGCCAAATGAAACTAACTAAGAGCTGGACAATGTTCTTTTTGAGCACAATTTCCATCACAGAAGTTGAACTGAGTTTTTTGGAAGATACATTTAAGTCTAAATTTTTTAAAGGCTGAAATGTCTGGAAGCTGTCACAAAGTTAAAATAACAACAACTCCTATTTAAATGAATGCAAATGGATACAAAGCTAGAAACAAAAAGAGAGCTATGAATTGTGATGTTGAACATAGCAATGCCTAAAAGTTTCTTGAACACAACTGAAAACACTGAACTAAAAACCTAAGTTCCATTTGCAGTGATCACCAGAGGGTTAGGCTCCTGGGAGTGGGACCTGAGCTGATCATCATGTCAAATGAAGTACCTTCTCCTGAGTAGGAACTGTTAAAGAGGCATGTCTGAAACTGTGGAAAGAAACTTTATTTGGGGAACGTATGGATTTCACAATAGCCAAAAATAAATGTTCTGCAACAGACAATTCAGAACACCTAAATTTGGATTTACAGACAACAGACATTTATTTAGGTGAAGGAAGTTGAAGTCTGTGTGTTTAGAACCATGAAATGAACCCTAGCAACACAGGAGTGAATCCATTGCTTGAGTCTACATTGCTAAATGAGATAGGTTCAGGGAGAACACTGATCACTGAATCTCTGATTGTCCACAGTGTTTAATTATTATCTCTCTGTCTCTGTGCTGGACCTCTGTCTAGATTTCTCTGATATCTCTCTGACTGATGTCTTGGCAGCTTTGAGGCGCACAAACATTTTAACATTCTCTCTTTTTTATTCTGTTTTGTTTTTGTTTCTGTTTTTGTTTGTTTGTTTGTTTACCAGTAGAGCTGTTGTGATAAGTGTAAGCTTTTTTTTTTTTTTTTTTTTTTTTTTTTTTTTTAAGTTAAATATCCTCTGAAGGATTTGTATATATGCTTCACTGACTTTATTAGAACTCAGGCATTCATCTAGTTTGAAAAAGATTAGTTCATCTTTTTCACCAGAACTAAATGCCTAAAATTTAAGTAAATCAGCATCTTATTCTGTCTTTATTTCACACACTGGCACAAAAAGTAAAAATACAGTCATATCAGTAGACAGAAGACATTTGTATATTTGAGGGCAGTTGGTATAGAATCAGTAATGGTAGGACACAAAGAAACTAGAGAATGGAGAAAATATATTGATGTTCTAGGTCAAAGAAGGAGAAACAGTTGCCAGAGAGGTCACTGGACCTAGGATCCTCTAAGATAGTCCAGAGGCTGGGTGCTGAAACAGCAGGTCTTGTCAGTCCTGCTCTAGGAGGCCCAGGAGCACACTGTCTTCCACCTCTAAAAAGTGACTATGGGGAAGAGGTTTTTAGTTTCTCTCCTGTACAGAGGAGATGACAACGTTACCTGCTCTCCTTGTTATCTTCCAGAACAGATTCTTGTGAATCAAGGTACAGATCTGAACGTGCTATGGCCCAGGTCCTGTAAACAAAACTAGTTATTTCCAGCAAAATCTTGGCAATGGAATAACAGGTATTTCCCCATTCAGAGCCTAATTCTGCAAGACAGGTGAGGACCCTTTTTATATATTATTTTTATTTTATTTTATTTTATTTTATTTTATTTTATTTTATTTTATTTTATTTTATTTTATTTTGCCTTTTTCTGCTACCAAGATCTGGAAACTTAAGTGTGTACATTGCTTTGGGGTAATGTCTAGTATCTTGCTAGTCATATCTTGTACCCTTTCTGCAGAAAACTTTTCTAGGTGAATGTGATTTTAGTTATGAAATGCAAAATCTTGATACATCCATATTAAGAATATGGAGTAATGGTATAACTAGAGGTTTTGTGTTCTTTATGCTGAAACCACTTGAAGCTGGTGACTGCTGTACACCAACAAAAAGTCAGCAAATACAGGCAGAAACCTTCACTTGACTGCAATATATCTTATTCATGGGAATCTTTCCAGGACAAGCAGGGAAACATTTTTCTACTTTATCTAAATTTTCACAAGGACTGAGTCACAGGCCATTTGCAGAGCTCCTGACTACAGCAGAGCAAATTCTAAGAAACTCTTTATTCAGTGTCCTCTGGTTCAGCAAGGCCCTGGAATTTGGGTGACCACAGGAAGTAGTTGAGAGGTTTTCCAGCCTGACCATATGAGCCGCCTCCCCACAAGAACTTCCTATTTTGGCTGAGTCTCTTCAATCAGTTTGAAGTTGCTCTTTATGATCAATAGTAGTGAGTTTAAGGATGGCTTGTTTGCCTTATGTTTGAGAAGTGGTTCTTGTTCATTGGTTTCTCTTTCTTACATCAGAGCTACTTCTGTTTGTTTTAAGATTTTAAATTGTTGCTAAATTTACAAAGAGAAGCAGAGAGTAAAAAGTGTGTAAAAACTTCTGTCTCCTGAAAAGCTAAAAGTAGAATAAGTAACATGAAACAGAATGGGGAAAGACACAAGATAAACAAAACAAAACTTTTAATACATAGGATGATTTTATAGGTAGACTGCACCTAAATAATAACATGTTATATACATGTATTGCCTAAAATAAATATATATACGTAAAATATTCATAAATTACCTTGAGATGTAAATGTAAATGAACTTGCAGAATTCACAATAATAACAGTGAATACACATATGATATAAAAACATAGGGAAATAAAAAATATACACAATGTACCATTTTCTTCTATGTAGCCCTTGGAAAGTTTCATTTTCATAGGGAGAAAACAACAGTCACTGCACAAAGCCATTAGTGTTTGATGAAAATAAGCTGGCAAAAACTACCTCAGTAACTGAAAGGGATTTGCATTCACAGTTTTTTAGAGGTGTAGGTAAATGAATGATTTCAGTTATTGGAAAATAATATTTGCATTAGAGAGCTTAACATTTAAATATGGCAAAAAGAATGTATCTTATCTGCATTAGATCAGTGCATCTTATTTAGAGAATAGCTATGAATTTGTTGCTTTTCTTTCACAGATAAGCTCTTCTTTTTCAAGTAGGGGTAAAGAATAACAAACGATTAATTGTTTTGTGTAGCCCATGATCTCTTAATCTCAGACTTAGCACAGATATATAACACTGCTTAGTGGGGGAAAACAGAGATTTGTTTGATAGAAATAAATATTTGAACCCTAACAGGACATTTAAACTACCTGGAATACAGTGACTATCTTGTTCAAAAGTTATGCATTTTAATATTGGGTAATTTAAAAATTCAGAGATCCAATTTGTTGGATCTTTGAAGGAGGAGTTTTTTATCAGTAGTTTGCTTACTAGGAAATGTAACACTAAAAAGAGTTAACTAGAAAACTGGTGAGAAATATATGTATATACTTTTATTTATTTTTTAATGTTAGACCAAGTCATTTAGCTATAACAACTAATATCTTGCCTCCAGCACGGACCAATGTTAGCTTAGAGGATAAATAAGTTCTTTCAATATACTTAGCGACATATACAGTATTGAAAATTAAAATATATTCCTTTCTTCTTTCATGATTAGTTTCCAAAACCTGGAATGAAGATTACTGTCCAAGACAGGATACTTGTGCAGAGGATGTTCAGCTGCTTAACAAGTATGAACAGAAGCCCGCCCAATTTTGGATAACTCTATGAGAAACAACTAATTTCTGATAAGGCCCAGAGGCAAAATCTAGAGTTAATGAAATATGTATGATACTTGGTGTGAAAACACTGAGTTCCTAAATCTAAGAAAGGTGAAGAGCAGAACTGACCCTCAAATGTATCCTTCCATTTTCACTTTCAATATGGGTACAGGCCTGTATGGAAATTATTTGAGATATCATAGAACATACATCATGATTTATAAGAATTACTCTTAAAGATATAATTTCATTTTAAAAGCAGCAGTGATGAACACTTGATTTTTTTTTCAGTAATTAAGGCTCCAAACTACTTCAGCATGCTTCTACTTTGTGCAAGGATTAATTTTGACTTTTCAAAAGAACACAAATGAAAGATGCAGATGTAAGTGTATTTGCAAAAGGTGCAAAGATGTCTAGAATACACTTTGTTTTTGTTTGTTTGCTTGTTTGTTTCCTTTCTTTCTATTTGTCTCTCAGGTATGCTAATATCCGTTTGCTCAATGCTGGTTGCAAAATGAAGTTTTAACAGATATGTGTGAATAGTTCTATCAGAACAATTCTGAAAGGAGATCCTCCTCATACAACAGAAAACTACAATAAGAGCTCTGGTCCTATTATAAAGCTTCCAAAACCAGTGGAAAAAGAGCTGTGTTCCGTTATTCCCAGTGCACACCTGGGAATTTACTGCTCTCTTATGTGGCTCTCACCATCTCTTTCTGCTGCAGGCTAGCCCTGTAGCACAGCTCTTTCGTCTCTCCTACCTTTGTCTAAAATTAAACTGATTTGCAGGTTTAAGGCCAAGCCGTTTTGAAGCTTTGGCAAGTGAAAAGAGAGAAAATACTCATGTGAGATCACTTCAGTTCAAACCCTCACATTGACAGAGATGCTTTGCTTCATTTGACTCAAACTGGCCAGATCATTGATCATTTTTATTCTGGCATATCACCTGTGGCATCTCAGAAGGATTTGCTTAGGTTTGATGATGTTACCACAGGTCATAATTTAGTTTATAAAAAAACCTTGGAATAGAATTAAAAGTATTGAGTAGCTATTCTGTTTCCCATACATAGCTACGGAGATGAGTTATTCTCCAAAATACAGCTTTGAATCTGAAAGCAAAGTTTGTCATAAAGAAAATAACTGATGATAAATTCATCATTACTGTCTGAGTCACTGGCATTGACCATATTTCCTCTGTGCAGTGAATTATGAAAAAGAGAGCTAGAATCATAGCTAAAGGTGAGAGTGATATATATAGAGAAAACTACAGCTCTTTGTAATGAGAAAAAATAAAAAATAAAAAAAATTGGGAGTCCTTACTAGTGTAACATGTGCTGTTTATTTGCTAAACTTTAACAAATGTAAAGATATGGAAAACATGAAACTGTAACAAAGTTTATTTGTTTGCCATTTTTATTTTTATTTTACATTTTTTATTTTACATTTTTTATTTTTATTTTTATTTTATTTATATATATATATATATATTTAAGATTTGACATTTTAACTGATACTGACAGAAATTTACCACACCACAGAAATCATTCCTGGAATGCTGTAGTAACAATTTTTTTTTCTTCAAATATTTACTATAATCTGCAGAGTAATTTTTTTAAAAATCACGATTACCTTACACATCAAGGTTTACTCTCTGGCTCTCCAAAATAAGGTCATTATGTCTTAATAGTCTAACACACAATCCCTTCTGCATATGTACATATACTTTTTCTCCACTTTTTTTTTGGTAGAACAACAAATAGTCACTCTTACATGAGGAAAACTTGGCTCAACCTTGCAGATTTGCATAGCTGTACGGAAGCTTGGCTTTCCTTACAGTTTAATCTTTTCTCACTTACACTTCTAGACTTCTACATGCTGGCAGTTGCGTTTCCAGCTAAAATCAGACATATAGAATTCTCTTGTCCCCTGGACAGACCATAAGCCTCTTCCAGGGTGTTTCTGGTATTATGACTACATTCCTTTATTTTAATGTCAAAGCTAAGTGGACTGTTGCCAAGAAACAAAATTATACCAAGAACCCTGCATTGCTGCCAGACCATCTAAGCCAATGACTGAAATACAATTAAAATTAATTTTCCTTCTTTCTGTGGAACTGAAGCGGACATGGACTGCAGCTGTTGTGATCTGGTTTATGGTATATCATTCCCACCTCACTTAACTCTTACTGGTACATTTTCAAAGTGAAATAGTAGAAGTTCTTTCCGTCTGTTTAATGGAAGTTGTATACTCCAGATTTCACATAATAATTCTCCTTCTTTATAGAGTGTCATGATTATTTGGAGTTCTTTTCAAAATAAGTAAAAAGGAAGGTAATTGGATTCTGTTCACCACTTTACTGGTGTAAATCTGGAAAGACTATCTGTTTTGCAGGGATGAGGTTGGATGTAAATCTTCATGATAAATTAACAGAATATGGACTAAAATCCATTCAGTATATCATTCAATGATATACTAATGCACACTTCAAAATACTCTTGTATTGTCCAAAATCATTTTGATGCATGGTAGGGTGCATGGTGTCCAGATTAATTTACTGAGAATGCAACTGTGATGGCAAAGAGACCAAAGATCTACGTCACAGGACTGCTATCACATCCATGATTTTGGGACAAGAATCATGTTTTTGCCTAGGAGTAGAGAGTCAGACACCTTGTCAGGAGGTCTGAACACATATATACTCAACTGTATTAAAATAGATCCTCTAGATCCTACCCATCTGCACTTCATGGATTTTCTGTCAATGTTTCTGTGGGCCATCTTAGAGAACCATTAAGATCACTTTCCCAAGATGTTGTGACAGTATGACAAATGAGGGAAGAATATATCCTTTTATCTTCAAATTATATTATATTATTGCCTGAATTATATTCCTTTTCGTGGACAAGAATTTATAGGGAAAAAAAAATATTCTGACACCACTTCTGACCTCTAATAATGATATATGGAGACCTGGATACGGCATTTCCTCAAGAGTTACTCTTTATGATAAACAATCACTCTTGATGCTGCAGAAGTCATGTACTAAAGACAAGTTGTCAAGTCAAAAATTCTTTTCTATTCTTTCAAGCTTTTTAATTGATAATTTCAGAGAGTTCCACAAACAAACAAACAGACAGACAAACAGGCAAACAGACAAACAGACAAACAAAATTTAATTATATGAAATAGAAATCATTTTTCTGATAGAAGTTATTCAAATGCATTTGAATACCTAAGTACATGTATTCCCTTAGGCCTGCACATTCAGTAACTGTGTGCGTATGCACCATATGACATTTGTTATGCATGTTTTCTGCTATATGTTCATACATAAATCAGTCACCATGCCAGTCTAGAAGCTACAAATTGTATATGTACAAACACATAATACAATGACTTCTGTTAAGCATACTAAATTGTATTATAGAAAGATATTAATGCATGCTGATATTTCAAAGAATGTTTTCGATTTAGGACTTCTCTTTAAATAAGACCTCAGATCTATTTTTATCCTGCTAGATATCTTATGAATTCAATAATACAAGTTTGTTAACATGTGATTATGTATTGGATCCTAGAAATTATGCATTGCCAATTATTTATTTGATTTTTGAGACCACTTCCAAACTAAGAAATTATGCATCTAAGGGAAGACATAAAAACGTGTATCTGATCAACATAAAACACTGGGTGAATAAACACAGAAAATTAATGTGAAACTTTGTTATAGGTGTAGAATTCTATTAAATTATATCTGCATAATTATTGAAATGAATAAGCATAAAATAAAATCTTGTCCCATAAAAGCTTCTAACCTTGAGTTTTCTGTTGTTTTGCTTATTTTAACTGCAAATTATAAAAACAGTAAATAAAAATAATGACCATAAACAAACAAAAAATTATGAGTTCTGAATTCCATATTTTATTATTTTATTTTATTTTATTTTATTTTATTTTATTTTATTTTATTTTATTTTATTTTATTTTATTTTATTTTATTTTATTTTATTTTATTTTATTTCATTTCATTTCATTTCATTTCATTTCATTTTGCCTGTGAGTAACTATGAGAATACTTCTTTATCAAGATGCATGCTGAAGGACACTCTTATTTTTGATGGAAAAACCTACTTTTTATGTCTGTGAATACAGTCATACCATTATTCATTTCAGAGTTGCAGCTCTAGTTTTGTTCAGCCAGCCAGGAACTTCTGAATGCTCTTCATTTGTTATTATTATTAACCTAATTAAGGAGAAAAGACCAAATTAGTCAATTTGGACATCTACTTACATTTAAAGAACTCCATGAGGCTGTTTTCAAATTACTAGAGCCTAACCTTGATACAATATCTGTAGGGTTTTATGAGACCTCCAGAAGGAGCTTGAATCTACTGCCAAAGGACTTACCCCTCTCCATTCCTTGTATGTTTTCTTTGTATGGATTTTTCTATTGCCCTTGCTCAATTAACTATGCCTGCAAAGGTTTCCAGTTTTTGAAACTCATTTATTCTGTTAAACAGTTAAAATTTATGTTGTGCCATGTGTTGTACCATGTTGTGTTGTAACACTGCTATACAATCTTGTATAGGAATGCTATATATATTATGTAGCAAGGTATATCTTATATACCTTGTCTGGTATTATATTATATACCTTGTCTGGTATTAAGTACAAGACAAAACTCTCTCCATGAAGCAGTCAAAATAAAGCTCCTGTTGGTTCTGGAAGTTGGAGAGTTCAGCTGGGTGGATGTTGTCTACTCTATGCAAGTTGAACTCTCATATCAAAAGTTACTGAGCAAATGTTGAGAAACAGTACTGATGACAAAAAATGTGAGACTATATCATCTTTTAACTTTTAAAGCAAAGAAAATCTAGACTGGTTATATTTATGTGTCTTTTTTTTTTTTTTAATTCTGCTACAATAAACATCTGTATTTTACACTGTTTTCCTCAGATATTGAAGCTTAAATTTTTATTTTATTTTACTTTATTTTGGCAGTTCATATACCAGTTATCTGTGTTCATGGCTCTCAGATTGTGAACTGTGCCACTTGTTTAGTTTTAGTATGATAACAGGGTCACAGGTTAATTCAAATGGGAAGGAACATCAGGAGGTCTCTAACCCAAGCTGCTGCTCAAAACAGGGACAGCTCTGAAGTCAAACAAAGCTGCTCAAGGCTTGAGCAGCTTGAGTTGGACCTTGAAAACTTTCAAATATGGGGATGACACAACCTCTCTTGTCAACCTGTTAGTACCACTTTTCTCAATTTAAACACAGTAAGATTTTAAATTTAATATAAATAAGAAAAAAATAACCAACAATTTCAAGAGTTCAGACTGGCTGAGAAGAAGATAAAAATGTTTGCATATGGGTTTTTCTGCTCTTCAGAAGCATATTTTATTTTATTTTATTATTTTATTTTATTTTATTTTATTTTATTTTATTTTATTTTATTTTATTTTATTTTATTTTATTTTATTTTATTTTATTTTATTTTATTTTATTTTATTTTATTTTATTTTATTTTATTTTATCATTTTATTTTATTTTATTTTATTTTTGCTGTTTTGTTTTTAACTCTCTTCAAAAATATGCATCACACACCTTTAGGAAAGTATCAGAAGACAATAAGGCTACATCTACTTTCCCACTGTGGCCAAGGAACTATGCTCACTTTTCTGTCCTGTTCCTAGTAGTTTTCACATTATTCAGTGTTCTTTTGCACAGTTCAAGATTATCTTCCCAGTACTGAATCAGGTAAGCCATGGCTTTATGAGAAAATGAAGCCATATACTATAACCAAGATGCAATCCAAATGCCTCCTGGTAAGAGCAGCCAGAGTTTTTCCAACATTATCAAATGTTTACCTACTGAGAACTTATGTTTGTTGTTGGTCAGAACAAAATACCACAAACTCTAGCAATGTAGGGGTTAAATACAATCTTGATTCACTCTATATTGTATAACGTTTTGTATTGTAAAGTTTATTTGTGATGTCATTTCAGTGATTGAAATGATTTGCTGGCTCAATGAAGTATATGGCTTTTTTATAGATTTGAAAGAGTACAAAAAGTTACAGTTGTGCAGCAGTAGATGCAGAAAGTAATTCAGCATACTAGAGAGCAAAAAATGGACAGGTTAATGGACATATATGGAACTCTGCTGCATTTAGTGAAGCTATTTTAAATTCTGTAAGAAGTTAATCCTGCTCCAATAACTTGACTAAAGACTGTAAAAATATCTTTGCCAGGAAAGGATATCAACATTTTAAATCTACTTTATGCTGATAAAGAGAGGGAGGGGAGAGGAGTCCATTTTCACGGGA